ACTCACATCCTGATAGCCAGTGATTGGCTGTCAGGATGTGTGTAGGCGGGGCAGCGTGACGAACGTGAGAGGAGCTAGGCTCCTCTCACAGTCCGCCCTGAAGACCGGAACGGCGTGGGAACACGGCGAGAGGAACGCGCGGAGCAAAGGTAAGTGAATTGACACAGGGGGGACTTGGCTTACTACTTGGGGGGGAATAGTACTGTGGGGGATGAAATACTATATGAGGGATGAATTAATATGGGGGATGAATTAATATGGGGAATGAATTACTATATGGGGGATGAATTACTATGGGGGATGAATTAATATGGGGAATGAATTACTATAGGGGGGAATTACTATGATGAATTAATATGGGGAATGAATTACTATGGGGGATGAATTACTATATGGGGGATGAATTACTATAGGGGGGATGAATTACTATAGGGGGGATGAATTACTATATGGGGGATGAATTACTATATGGGGGGATGAATTACTATGGGGGATGAATTACTAAGGGGGATTAATTACTATAGGGGGGATGAATTACTATATGGGGGATGAATTACTATATGGGGGGATGAATTACTATGGGGGATGAATTACTACTGGGGGATGAATTACTATGGGGGATGAATTACTATGGGGGATGAATTACTATATGGGGGATGAATTACTATATGGGGGATGAATTACTATATGGGGGATGAATTACTATATGGGAGATGAATTACTATGGGGGATGAATTACTATAAAAACTTATTGAAACTAAAAACAGTGTACCATCCTATGTATTTTCAGTTTTAAAAATGTGGCTCTCAGAATAAATTTCAATCGTGGTTTTGGCGAGATTTGGTTCAGTTAAAAAAAAAGGTTGCCCACCACTGCTCTAGGTGGATATGATGTCAGATACGAGGATCCTGGTAACCACTTGGGGTGTGATAACATCATACGAGAAGGCATGGCAACATTTTTCAGAGTGGGGAGTCCCTGTCTTAAGCCTGCCCATTCAAAAAAAGCACCTGCTTTTAAAGAGGAAAGGAGTTGACTACTTCTAAACAAGCAGTATATAGTGAGTGCTAAGAAAACTGAGAGCAGCTAGCGCATGTGATGAACTCACTCCATAACACAATAAAATATATCATAAAAAAAAATTACAAAAGTATCCACCTTATACTAAAATACCAAATAAAAAGTGAAAAATAATATAATACAGTAGCTCATAAATGTTATCAACATTCATAAGTGACTACCATACTACATATCTAAGAGATAAAAGTGAAAGCAAGTATACAAGGAAATTGTTATTAATGATGCCTACATAAACAATCCATATAAATGAGTCCTTGATGCAATGATGCAACGCACAAATCAAAGACTTACAAAATCAGTGCGCATAAATGAAGTGAATGCTCAGTGGGATGAGTGACTGCACACATAGTCTGTATGAACCGCAGTCCTCGATAAAGTGAAGTGACATCCACATGTGGAAAAAAAAGGAGGAGGCGGGTCTCTTTGAGAAAAAAAAAATCTGCGAGATCTTTCACCAATATGCACTCACCAGAACTAAAATCAAATGAGCTTGCAACAAATGATACTCCAAGGCAAACATATCTCTGCCTCTCAGGCTGGTTCTGTGCCATGAGTAATGTGTCCTGAAAAAAGAGCTCACCACATGGAGCTCAAATTGGAGGTACATAGTGTAGTAATTTATTTAAAATCAAAACATACACATGCAGTCCACGTGGAATAAAAAACTGTCGCAGCACTTGGCGGCGTGACATCAGCACATAGGCTCCTCCCTGATGTCTTTCGTGCACACATACGTTCTCAAAGGGACCCGTCTCCTCCTTTTTTTCCCCACATTTGGATGTTACTTAACTTTATCGAGGACTGCGGTTCATATGAACTATGTGTGCAGTCACTCATCCCACTGAGCACTCACTTCATTTATGCGCACTGATTTTGTAAGTCTTTGATTTGTGCATTGCATCATTGCATCAAGGACTTTCATTTATATGGATTGTTTGTGTAGTCATCATTATTAACAATTTTTTGTATACTTGCTTTCACTTTTATCTCTTTGATATGTAGTGTGGCGGTCACTTATGAACGTTGATAACATTTATGGTCTACTGTATTATATTATTTTCACTTTTCATTTTCACCATTTGGTATTTTAGTATAAGGTGAATACTTTTGTAATATTTTTTATAGCGCAGCACTTTTGTTTTGATATATATTGTTGGCTACAAAAATTGGCTGCAAGGGAATAGACTGATATGGCTGACTATGGGCTACAAGGAAATTGCCACAGCTTTACCACATACAGATAAAGGAATACATGCAAAGAAGTAGACATACTGTATATTTAAAGCAGTAGTAAACTTCTCTTTTGAACTTGTACCTACAGGTAAGCCTATAATAAGGCTTATCTGTAGGTACAGTGAATATCTCCTAAACTTGTTTAGGAAATATTCACACGAAATGCAGCCAGTGAAGTCACCAGCATATGCACTCCGAAGGGCTCTGTGCCGTGGCACCTGCACGTACGACGTCATCGGGGCTTTGCCATTCAAGCAGCCGCAGGTCGCGAGCCCGGAAGGCAGACCGGGTGAAGGTGGAAGCCCTGTCAGCGGTGACAGTGCTCTGCTGGAGGGCTTCGTTTTTAGGTAAGTATGACATAAAGTCATACTGGAATTTGCATACTAGCAAATTATGGCTTAAACTACCCAGGTCCATTTTTTTTTTCTTAAAGAAAGTTTACTAACACTTTAAGCCGAAGGGAGCTTGTATTCACAGATTTGCCAAATGTATGAAATAGGAGGCTTGCATTACTGTATATGCTCAGGGTCTCCTAAGGTGGGAAAAACATGTTCATTAAGAAACTATATATTCTAACAGTGTGACACCAGGGATTTATCTAAAAGATAAAAGACAACTATTGCAACGAGATTAAGATTCTTTTATATACAAAGGGGAATATACACAAATAAACAAATAGTATTTTAGACAATATGAATTCATATGGAGGAATTTGTAACCATTAATAATCACCTACTACTAAACAAAAATCACATAAAAGAGGATACAGCATTAATCATCATAAATTGGTACACAGTTAAAAGGGAAATATACATAAATCAGCAAAGGATTTAGTAACACCGGCTTGGAGTTTGCTAAGGGAGCCTAATAAAACATATTCCAAATGATATAACACAATATAGCAATAAAAGAGGTTCTGCAAATATAAAATGTGTGTTAAATCAAATAAGCACTACTGAAAAACCAAAGTGACAAAGCGTATGACAAATAAAGATTATCCCATCTTGCCGTAGTTTGAAATAAACTCAAAAGGTTAGTCTTCCCACCGTGAATAAAAAGTTCTCAAACACTGAAGCACTGATTAGTGGCTAAGGTGTTGGGTGAATGATAAATAGCATGATCAACTGTCACAGGTACCTTATTAGATGATTCTTCCCTAGGGCATTCTCTGTTAAAAGGTTCCACCAGAAGGAGGTTTTTTGGTGGTACAGTAATAGTGGCATCAGTGACTTGACTCAGAGGTCCAAGTATAGGTGATATCTTCATTAGTATTCTTTTTTGAGGAGGCTAGGCCAGGCATAGTGTTGGTAGTTTCTTCATTAAAATAGTTTTTAATGGAGGTGGGGCCAGGTGTAGTGGGATTACTAGAATTTTTTAGGGAACTTCCTCTCAAGGCGCTTTTTTCTGTCCTCTTTTAACCTGTCCATGTAATTTCCGACCACAGAATTGTTAACTCTGTCATGTGTTATTGCAGTACTTAGTAAAGATAGACATGTTTGTATTTTGTCATGAGTCTATTAATAAAGTTAGGCTTAGGTTTAGGGCTCATTATGGAGGATATTTTAATTTTTGCCCAGAGATGCATGTGGATTTTCTTTCTACTTTTTTTATTATTGTTATTCCATGTAAAAACTTTCTGTTTCTGGTGATCCTCGACATGTAATTTGCCCAGTTTAGTTCTGACTATACTCTCTTCAATAACTGGTCCTATTTTGAAGATAGATCTGCCATAAAGTAAAAGGGCCACATTATTATTTATTTCAGGTACTTATATTGCGCTGTCAATTTACGCAGAGCTTTTTACACATATATATTGAACATTCACATCAGTCCCTAACCCTCAAGGAGTGTACAATCTAAGGTCCCTAACTTACATTCATACATACACATATTAGGGCCAATTTAGACAGGATCCAATTAACCTACCAGCATGTCTTTGGAATGTGGGAGGAAACCGGAGCACCCGGAGGAAACCCACACAAGCACAGGGAGAACATGCAAACTCCATGCAGGAGGCGCCATGGTCGGGAATTTAACCCATGACCCATTTACTGCAAGGCAGACATGCTAACCACTAAGCCACTGTGCCGCCCCACATGCACATTGTTCACTTAATCCTTTGATACCATTGGCCACTGCGTCAAGATAAATAGCAAGTTTCCTTTCCCTTTGATCACCAGTTTAACCCATTTGGTGGTGCAAAGTTCTGATATTTTTTCCCATTGTTTGTTTAGGTTAGCTGTGGCCATTTTATTGTAGCCCATGGTTAGCAGAAGTAGTCCACCCCTTCCTCTTTAATTACAGGAGCTTTTTTAGAATGGGTAGGCTTGAGAAAGAGGCGCCCTGCTCTGAAACATGTTGCCAACCTGGCTTCATTTTCAGGATACTGTGCAAGAAGCAAGACGGTGGCACCCAATGAGGAAATAATTGGGCTTCTTTCTGTTACCTGATTAAGCACTTTTGAATTCTTTGTGAGCTAATACTTGGCATTAATATCTGTAAACACTGATGAAGGAAAGGGTTGAATTAATTGTGAATTGTAGACAGGAAATCAGCATGAATTTTTTAGGTTGTTATTGTCCCTGTCAGCACTCCAGATCAGAGCATAAATAATTGATGAGGAACCGCAACAGCAATTAATATTTTTCAGGTGAAGTGGGGCTAATGGAATACTTTCATTTTCCAGTATTTGCATGAAAATGGCATTGTTCACCGAGATCTCAAGCCAGAAAATCTCCTCTATGCTACTCCAGCACCAGATGCTCCTTTGAAAATTGGTAAGCATTTTCATTATTTTATTCATATTGTGATTGGTACTGTACCAAAAAGACAGCAGTGATAAAAATACCACAATTCATTCATGCAAGTGCATAAACATATATCATTCATTACATCAATATATACCATAATGTTGTTTGATTGAATCTGTAGCATGTGTGAATATGTTCCTTTAGTCAGTATATGCAGACTTGGAAATGTACAATTTTTGCATTGGAGAATATTTCATTGCATCCTGACAAACAGAACCTCTAAGATCCTTTTGATTGGTTGAAGATTTAGGCTATCCAGCCTGTTTCTTCCCAGTCCATAGGAGCAACAGATACCCAAAGTTTATTGCTTAGGTACAGGTAAGTAAAATCATTCCTATTATAACATATTTCAACAGGATGTCTTAAAGGATAAGTTCACCTTTGGTAACCTATCACATGTTACCCCCAGCCCATCCCTGTGACTGCGGCGTGGGGGTTCTTCACTTTTTGAGATAAGCGTGACATACTTATAGTTTGAATGGGCTGTGAGTGCACTGATGAGCATATTCCTAGCTCATTCATTCTTCCTCTAGCTTTGTGACAGAAAGCCTGTAAAGTGATACAGGCAAAAAGCTAGAGGAAGATTTTGCAGGAGCCTGAAATTGCACCCGTGATCTGCGGATCGGAAAAAAAAAAATTTCCACCTGTAAAATTATGTGCATTTATTATTTTTTTTAAGGTGAACTTAGCCTTTAAAACTGTTTATATCATCGTATTCCAACTGTTCTTTGTACTTTCTACCACAGGTACTTCCAGCACCAGTATTAGCCTTTTCAAAATAACTGATGCAAGAGGTAACTGCTCATTTATTCTAGGGGGAGAAAAATCACATTTACTTACCTGATTCTCTGCTCCCCTGGCAGATGGAGCTCCCCCATGCTCTAGTGGTGGACTGTTTCGTGGCGTTATCACATCCAGTGCAGAGCTATGGACTCTGCATCCATATTGATGACGTCAGGCCCTTAGACCACTGGAGCATGGGGTAGAGAACATCGTGGGGACCAGTCTAGCAGCGTGGAGGATCAGGTAAGTAAATCTTCTTTTCTGTGCTCCCTAGATCTAAACAAGCAGTTAACTCTTGCAGTGCGGATTTGCTGAAGTTCAGCTTTAAAGTAAATATAGAGAAGCTGTTGGATAATTGGCAGTTGCCAACATCATTCATAAATTATTCTCAATAACATCTTTTAAAGGATTCTTCAATTGCCAATATTGTTAATAGATTAATCGGAATAACATAGGGATACAGTCTGTGCCAGCGGATTAATTACACGTGTGAGCCATGAAGCCTTAGACCTGTATGTGGGCAAACTACATACAAAATATGCTGAATAATGAAAAAATATTCTATCCTTTGCACATTACACCCTATTAAAGTATAACCCACCTAAAAAAGTGATTTATATATGTATAGATATAGGGGTAATTGTATTCACTGAAATCTTCTTTTCAAGCTTTACTCTAATTTTATGAAAAACAGCTTGTTTTTAACTGTTTAGCCACTTTTTTTTTTTTAATGGTTGAACTGGATGGACTTTTGTCTTTTTTCAGCCAGCCTATGTAACTATGGAAAGTGTGCTCCCATTAACCCTTATGCCTATGCATAAATCACATTAAATTTGGTTGGTCAGTTGAAATGAACTTTTTGAACTCTAAAACCACAGAAGGATTTTTTTCATTTATTCTGTTTATAACCTCCACATGTTTTCAGATTTGGAAAGAGTGGGGAAGAATTAGCACCTCTTTCAATTTCTCTGTTATCATCAGAGAGAATTCCTTGCACCTCCTGTCCCCGAAAACACAAAAAGGAAGTAGGTGAAAATTTCCTCAAAATAAAGGCTCACAATGCCACCTTTGACAGTTGTCACCAAAGCACGTTTTTCATTTGGAGAATACACGTCTAATCCTATTCTAATGACGACCGTCAAATTTTGGATTCTCCATCATTTTCTTCTGCTGGTGACAATGGTCCCCAGTATCAGGTGTGAGGGTAGAATTATGTATTTGTGAATAAAAATAAATTGTCCATGATTGGGCTTATTTAAAGTATGTGTAAAACCAAAACTTTTTTTAAGTTTTGAATAGAGTGTGAGAGAAGGTTGGATGCTCTGTCAGGACTTTGCTGTCTGTGCCACCACTAGTTAGATTCACTCTTTATGTTGGCTTGGGTGACCATTGTCTCCAATATAAGTGATGGCAAATCCAAAATTATTGAGTTGCCACAGAAACAACAGGATGAGAGGAAATGCTTTAATGGGAGCACCTGTTCTGGAGGGGATAGAGCGGATATTTCCTTACTTTGGAGAGATCTTTTGATTCATCCCTGGGACAGGAAGTGAAGAGAATTTCTTTAACTGGACACAGAGAGCTAAAAAAAAAAAAAATCCTGACCATTGCATTGTATTTATTTTTTTCATGTGTATGCAGAGTACAAGAAATACTCTTTCAGTGTTCTAATTTAAGTAGCTGCTGTGCGTTACTTTCTTCAGCTTTATTTATTGCTCTGCGCTAATAAAACTATCTTTTATATGTAGTATTGTTAAAGTGATATGCTTAACATCAGTTGTGGACACTGGTCATACTACACACATCCAAAAAAATGTAATAAACGTTCACAGCACATGTGGAGTACTTGCTGTCCTTCTGCTCTTATTCCTCTTCCGTCTTATACTTGTTGGCAGTTTCTGACTGGCTGGCAAGTTAGAGCTGGGAATTTTTCTTTTTTTGTTGTTTGACATGCATCACCCTTCCATGTGCTCCTTGCTGTGAAGGCCAGTTATAGACTGGGGCGGTGGACATTTTTTGTACTGTTGAATTGTTGGTCAAGGGGGTGCACTGGACACCTTAGCTGCCATTGTGCTACATGCTTGCTGTCTAGTGCGCTCCTGTACCTTTAAGATGGGGTGGGCTCCCTCAGGTCCATCTGCCCTTGGTCTATCCATTAAATACATGTGCCTCTACTATGGGGGCTCTTAAAATTGGAGAGTTAGGAACTACAGAATACTGGAGTGCCGTGACTAGGCTCTGTAGAGTATGCATGTATTTGCAAATGTGTACTAACTAAACCCCTGTTTTTAACACATACGGTTAGACAGGTTCATTCAGTTTGTTTGCAGGCTGACTGGCAAGTTATAGCTGGGAATGTTTCTTTTTTGTTGTTTGACATGCGTCGCCCTTCCATGTGCTCCTTGCTGTGAAGGCCAGTTATAGACTGGGACAGTGGACATTTTTTGCTCTGACTTTTGATTTACATTGTGTTCATGTCTGTGTCATATCTCAACCCTCTGAAAAGTGATCTGCAGTGGAGGTAATATATCACCTCCTTGATGCCTGTTACAAGCGTGTAAAGCTTGGTGGTTGCAGCGTAGCCCCATTCACTTGAATAGGCTGCGATGAGTGGCTGTATTGCCCTCCGATAACAGATTGTAAAGCTTCTGTTGTGTGTGTATCCCCGTTTGGCAGTCTTTGCAGTTTAAGGGGGGCAATTGAGAAGGGGGAAAGTTTGGTCGGGTGCAGATTAAAATGGCTGAGCAACCCCCTATTTTTACTGCCCCTGACCATAATTGTAAAGAAACCCATACTTTTCTATCCACTGTTTAGACTCGAGACAGAGAGATATAAAGTAACATTGTCGCTTTTGTATCTACACTGTTCAAAGGGATGAGCTTCCATCTGCATATGATGTCAGTTGAAGCAACATAACAAGTAAAAAAACCTTTTTTTTAATTAAAATGTATTTATCCCCTTATTAACCCTTAGTTTATCCTGATCAGTCCTAATTAACTCGCTTTGTCTCTAACTTTGCAGTGCCTTGTATCTGAATCATAATTATAGTGTCATTTTTTATTGATTTGCTTAAAAAAATAAAATAATTTTTTGCAAGACAATATCAATAAAAGAAAGCCTTTTGTTACATTGCTGAATCAGTAGGCCCATAGAAGAAATGTAAAAAATGCTCTGGTGCCTAGGGGGGTTTACAGGTGTGAGAGCTGAACTGGGTAATACATTACAGTTAGAGATGAGCGAATCGAAGTAGGCGAAGTGGAATTCGAGTCGAATATTGGAAAATTTTCGATTCGCGCCGAATCCGAAAAATAGCCTACTTCGGACGCGCGAATCGAAATTTTTCCTAAAATGGCGGCGGACATGTGCGGCGACGGAGCGGGGATGTCTGGGAAGGCGCGCAGACAAGGCGCGCTGACCCATAATGCATTCCTTAATGACATGTGATCGCATTAGCCAATCAGCAGCCAGGCAGCCAGCACTGTGTAATGGTCGAGCTATAAATAGCGGCCATTTTAGAATTCTTCATTTGCCTCCAGTCATTCAAGAGAGGCAGACCGCTCTGTATTAGGGACAGAGTTAAGGCCACAGAAACGTTACTTGGGGACAGAGAAACGTTACTTAGGGACAGAGAAGCATTACTCAGGGACACAGAATTGTTAATGAGGGCCACAGAATCGTTACTTAGGGCCAAAGAAACGCTAGTTAGGGCCACAGAATTGTTACTCAGGGACAGACAGAATTGTTACTGAGTGCCAGAGAATTGTTACTTAGGGCCACAGAAACGTTACTCAGGGACACAGAATTGTTACTGAGGGCTGCAGAACTGTTACTTAGGGCCACAGAAACGTTAGTTAGGGCCACAGAATTGTTACTCAGGGACAGACACAGAATTGTTACTGAGGGCCACAGAATTGTTACTGAGGGCCACAGAATTGTTACTTAGGGCCACAGAAACGTTACTCAGGGACACAGAACCGTTACTTAGGGCCACAGAATTGTTACTCAGGGACAGACACAGAATTGTTACTCAGGGACACAGAATTGTTACTGAGGGCCACAGAACCGTTACTTAGGGCCACAGAAACGTTACTCAGGGACACAGAATTGTTACTGAGGGCCACATAACCGTTACTTAGGGCCACATAATTGTTACTCAGGGACAGACACAGAATTGTTACTGAGGG